TTTTTTTTCTTTTCCTTTTCTCAATAAAAATTAAAAAAATTCCTCTTTTTTCTTAATTAAAAATTTTCATTTATTTTACATACCAACTGCAGCTTCCCTTCTGCCCTCCTCCCATCCTCTCCCTTCCCCTCTCCTCCCTTTTGCCTCCCCTCCCCAATCTACCCTCCCTCTACCTCTGTTCAGAAAGGAGCAGGCCTCCCATGGGTGCCAACAAAGCATAGCATAGTAAGTTGAAGTGGGACTAAGCTCCACCCTTTGATTTAAGAATGGGCAAAGTAACCCTGTATGAGGAATATGTTCCGAAGAGCCAGTCAAAGCATTAGGGACAGGCCCCGCTCCCACGGCCATGCAGGCTCCCTAGTCACCAGTCCATGGTCTGTGAATTTCATGAGCAGGCCAGTTGCTTCTGTGCGTTCCCTTGTGGTGACCCTAAGCCCCCACCTCTGGTTTTGTACAATCCTTCCTCCCTCTCTTCAACAAGATTCCCTGGGCATGGCCCAGTGATTGGCTGTGGATCTCAGTATCTGTTTCCATCAGTCACTGGATGAAGGCTCTCTGATGGCAATTGGGGTAATCTGATTACAGGAGATGGCCAGATCAGGCTACCTGTCCACCGCTGCTAGGAGTTTTAGCTGGGATCGTCCTTATAGATTTGTGGGAGATCTTTGCATCAGGTACTCTCTGACCCCAAAATGCCCCCACTCTCAAGTCATCACTGTTGTTCCTCTCCTCCTCCATCCACCCTCAATCCAATTCCTCATGTTCCCATGCTCACCTGTCCCCCCTCCACCCAGAAGATTTCCTCTGTTTCCCCTTTCCAGGGAAACCGTGTAGCCCCTTGGGGCCCTCCTTGTTACCTAGCCTCTCTGGGACTGTGGATTGTAGCATGATTATCCTTCACTTTACAGCTACTATCCGCTTAGGAGTGAGTCAATACCATGCTTGTCTTTCTGTGTCTGGGTTACCTTCCTCAAGATGATTTTTTTTCTAGTTCAACCCATTTGCCTTCAAATTTCCAGGTGTCATTGTTTATAACAGCTGAGCAGTACTCCATTGTGTAAATGTAAATAAATTTTCTTTATTCATTCTTCAGTTGGGGGGCATCTGGGTTGTTTCCAGATTCTGGCTATTATGAACACTGCTGCTCTGAACATAGTTGAGCAAGTGTCCTTGTGGTATAATTGGGCATCATTTGGGCATATGCCCAAGGATATAGCTGGGTCTTGAAGTAGATTATTCTCAATTTTCTGAGAAACTGCCATATTGATTTCCAAAGTGGCTGTACAAGTTTGAACACCCACAGCAGTGGAGAAGTGTTACCCTGCTCCACATCTTTTCCAGCATAAGCTGTCACTTGTGTTCTTGATCTTTGCCATTCTGGTGTAAGTTGGAATCTCAGAGTCATTTTGATTTGCATTTCCCTGATGGCTAAGAATGATGAACATTTCTTTAAGTGTTTCTCAGCAATTGAGATCCCTCTGTTGAGATTTCTCTGTTTAGGTCTATACCTCATTTTAAAAATTGGATTATTTGGGTTTTTATACCCAGTTTCTTGAGTTCTTCATATATTTTGAAGATCAGGACTCTGCCAGGTGTGGGGTTGGTGAAGATCTTTTTCCATTCTGTAGGCTGTTGTTTTGTTTTACTGATAGTGTCTTTTGCCTTAAAAAAGCTTTTCAGTTTCAGGAGGTCCCATTTATTAATTGTTGATCTCAGTGTCTGTGCTACTGGTGTTCTATCCAGGAAGCTGTCTCCTGTGCTTATGTGTTCAAGGCTATTTCTCATTTTCTATTCTATCAGGTTCAGTGTAACTGGATTTAGGTTGAGGTCTTTGACCCATTCGGACTTGCATTTTGTGCAGGGAATTCCATGCAGGGCGATAGAGATGGATCTATTTGCATTTTTCTACATGCCAACATTCAGTTATGCCAACACCATTTATTGAAGATGCTTTTACTTTCCATTGTATAATTTTGACTTCTTTGTCAAAAATCAGGTGTTCATAGGCGTTAATTTCTGTCAGGGTCTTCTATTCGATTTTATTGATCCACCTGTCTGTTTTTATGTCAATACCAATCTGTTTTTTTTTTTATTACTGTAGTTCTGCAGAAGAGCTTAAAATGAAGGATGGTGATATCTCTGGAAGTTCCTTAATTGTACAGGATTGCTTTTAGCTATCTTGGGTGTTTTGCTTTTCTATATGAAGTTAAATATTGTTCTTTCAAGGTCTGTAAAGAGTAAATTCCTCTTTTAACCTGAAGGTGGTGTGTGCACGTGTGTGTGTGTGTGTGTGTGTGTGTGTATAGTGTGTATATATATGTATATATATAGTGTGTGTGTGCATATGTGTGTGTGCAGGTATGTGTGTAGTTGTGTTTTCACATGCTTAGGTAGGCAAGAAGACACCCTCAGTGTTATTGATAAATGTTATTCTCAGGTGCAATCAACTTTTTAAACTTTGAAAGCTGGTTTTATTTTCTTTTCTTGAAAGCATATTTTCTTAAGGCAAACATGGACACCACTTTAAAAGAAAAAACTTCTAATAGTCCAAATTTTGATTCTTCCACTCCGTTCATGACCCTAGGTGCATTATCCTTTCTAAGGCGTACCATATGATTGTAGTTTCACTCTTTTGTCCATTTTGGGTCAAGCTTATTGCCTAGTGAAACTGTAACTCTCATGAGGCCCCACATGAAATATGTCTGTTTCTTCAAGATGGGTGTGTGGATCCCAGGATGCGGAAGAGGTGGTCCCTGCCTCATTCACACTTGGTTTTCTGTTTCTCTCTTCCAGGAGAAATTGAGAGATGCACGTACATCAAGTAACACTACTCCTCAGCAACCATCCCCAGGAACCTCACATTCAACATCACGAAGACCATTCGCCAGGATGAGTGGCATGCCCTGCGTAAGTGCAGCTGCGTTCCTGTGACTGTCCCGTGATGTCACTTGGAGGGCGTGGGGGAGGGAGGTTGTACGTACTCTCTGAGATCTGCAGATGGTTTCAGAACACTGGCATGGTCATGACTATAGGTCAGAATTGCCTGAGTTGGTTCTGATGGCATTGTAGATTTGTGGCATTTTGTTTCAGATTTTAAAAAAGACCAAACCAATCAAGTCAAACTCAAACCACTCTTGATTAGACAGTAATCTTAATTCCTTTTTCTGGTAGGTATCTGAAATTCCACCTACCCGACGGGATCTGCTCTGGGGACTTAACTCCGGCACATCTCTAAGTTGCTTATAATACTATTGTGGCAACCAGCTAGTCCCCTGTGCTGTTATTTGTAAAGGGCGAGTCATGCTCATGTACCTAGGGGATCTGCACTTAGGTGGAGGTCATTAAGAAGGAGTGTTGACTCTGCTTCCAAGAGTCTGTGTGCCTTCAGATGATAGCAGCTGGCTCATGTGTGATCAGTCAGCGAAGAGGTGAATATCTATGCCCATCAGTTTGGGAATTTTTAGTCGAGGGATCCTTAGAGACTTGCATTACGGTGAGAGAGTGACTTAATGAGCAAACAGAGATGGTTAGCTATTTTTACACTTCTCCATGGGAATCCATTGCCTGTCTGTGGCAAGGGAGCTCTCACTCACTCTTCATGTTGACCCACCCATGACACACTTCTATTGGGGTTGCCAGGTATTCTTCCTGTGTCATTTTTTTTCACCCAACAGCCAAAGGACTGAGCTCAGTTTATAGCCGCATAAACGTGAGCATTCTTTTATCACACCCCGATAGGCAGACTCCCTTAGTTGATGAACTCTGAAGAAGACAGTCCTTTAGGCTAGAACATTCTTCTCGTCTCATTGTTATCTTCTTGCCTTGTTATCATTGCATGCGTAGAGCCCACAGGGTGGCTTGATTTTATGCAGCTACAGCTTGGAGTGGGGAAGGGCGAGGTAAAAGAGAGTAAGTAAAATTAAAACAGAGCAGCCAATGGTTTCAGGGGGAAACCATACAAAAATGGGCATCCAGGTGATGGCCCCTCAATGCTCCTGGTCTGTGAGGACAGAGTAGGTGCCAGAGGATGACCCTGCAAGCCATACTGTTGTCACTTTAGAGGCGCTAAGTAGCATGAGAGCTAGGGACAGAGCGCTAATGTTCAAAGAGTGTTCCCATGTGCTAGCCATTGAGTTAAGTGTATCACATACATATTTAATTTTAATGTGAGATTGGCCTTAGAGACTCAAGTAATCAGGGTTATTAATTTCTATGGATGGTAGACATGGAAGACTCCAAATATAGAAATATATGGTGATAATTTTCAATTTCTTACAATACACCTGTCTAGTGAACATCACTTAAAGAGATGTTCAAGGTGCATAAGTCTTGTTGATTAGCCATACAAGCATAATAGATTCTGGAATTCATAATAGGATTCAGAATATAAGACGAAAAATTACTGACATTTCCAATTCAAATGGACTTGGTCTGTCTGAAGTTCCCAAGTTTCTCTGCATACCAGGCATATACTGGATATCAAGGCTGTGGGGAGCTCTTTTAAGGAGCTAGAGTCTGGGGTGGAGAAGGGTGGGGTTAGAGAGAGACATTCACAAAGCAAATAATTACATGGCAATGTGATAATTACAACATAGTAGAATTGCTTCAAGCAATTAAAATAGTTTGTGGGGTGTTTTTTTCCAGCCAGAAGGAGAATGATCTCAGTGTAAATTGCAGACACTTCAAGGGAAGCCTGGTGAACTGTATTGGCTGTGGCCAGGGTAGATGTCTAGAGTTGCAAGAGATTTTCCATCGTGCCATCCTTGGAAGTATGCCACATGGCATCATCCAAGAGAGAGAGAGAGAGAGAGAGGGAGGCTTTGTGGGGGTCCTCTTTGAACTCTGTGTATCTCCAGGGTGCTCATTCTCCAAGCATAGTGCTGTTGAATTCTGAAAAATCTAGCAGGCAGCTTCTATAGCCAAGCAGTGTGCTGACTTCTATTTTTAACAAATCAAAGCCATTTCAACGATTGATTCGTGTGAGGTCTCTAGCCCGTGGTGGTGGGTGAAGCTGATGCTCCCCTTTGGTGATGGATTCATTTGCCTCTTTCATGAAGTTGCCTAATGGGCTATTAAGCTGGCAGAGAGCATTTGCCATGCCTGACATCTATGACAGCTATTTTAAGCCAGAGGGTGAGTGAGCATCTGTCACAATTGAAGTTGGTCTTAAGTATAACTGGAAATACTGGCGTGATGGGGAGGCTTGGTCATGGCCATGTTAATTTTCAGAGGTCAGATTTTGATAACATGAGGTAGGAAATAGGCACAAAAACCTCTTTGGAAATATATTGTGTTAAACATACGGGGAATCTGAAACTACTCTCTTTGGAGACTATGCTATATTGCCACGCCTCTCAGGAGTCATCTTATGATCTGAAATTACTACCAGAGCAATGTCCTACATCACTATTTTCAAGTCAACAGGAAACAAAAATAAAAGATGAGTTTACATTGTGGGGGAAAAAAAAGAACTATATTGGACGAAAGTAAACATTAGGAAGTTTGTGAGATTAGCTTTGAAAAATGTGGGAAGACCCCACCCACAACCTGATTTCTTGGGCTGGGGGTGGAGCTCATTAATAGAGTACTTACCTGACCAATAGATGTAAGCCAAGTAGTTATCTCCGTCGCTGGAGAGATAAAGCTCATGCCAATTTTGTATCATTGAGTGCTTTAACAATCCAAAGGGGACAAAATAAATTCATCTGGTTATAGTTTTGTAGTGTGACCATAATATCTTATATTTTATATTTTTTCTCTTATTTTTTTCTTAGAGGGAGAAATAGGATGGGGGCTGTAACTTGTTTGTTATGAAATAAGATGAACATTTGAACTTTGGTTCACTTTGGATCATACACTTTTCTTTGGGAATTTGTGTGTGGCCTGATCACTGGCCCCTGTTATAGGAAAGAAAAAAAAAAAGCTTTCAAGTAGGAAAAGGCACAATTGACTTAAAGCTATGTCACACATTTTGAAAAGTTAACCCACCAACACAAAGCTTAACTGTGGGGCTCTAGGCTCTCCCATCTCATGGTCATATGAACGGCAGTTGAAAGGGTCAAATGACCTATAGATAGGGCACTGTGCTTCCAGATCCCAGTGTGTCAAGTGCTTGCCCCACGAGTTAAAGGAGGGGTCTTGGTACATGTTTGCATGTGCAATCGTGAGGGGAACAGAGGGTTGGCCTTCATGTTCCAGTGCTCCGGGTGAGTTGGGATGAGGTTGTGACTCTGGCTTGAATGGCAAGTGTTAGGAAGGTCTCATAGGTGTCTTGTTTTCCTCCTTACCATGGGGAATGACAAGACTCCTCCTAGAGCTCCAGTCTTCGTCCTGGGTCCGCTCAATCCTGGCTGCCCTTCAGTGCTGTCGGCTTGCTTTAGTCCCAGCGCAGGCAGAAGGCAGGGCCAGGCAGCTGCCTCTGTGGACTGTAGGTGTTCTGTTCTCCTCCATCAGGTCTCCTGCCGTTTCCAGGGCTGGACCAGGACAGGACAGTGTCATTGGCCATCAAGGAGTGAACAGTGGCCTCAGGAGATTAACTTAGCAAATGCCGCTGTTTGGGTCACTTGTCTGGTTCAATACTCAACACATGATAGAGTCTGATTACCAGTGGCTGGGGGAAGCCAGCTGGCACTGCCAGGGCATTGCAATGGCTTCTCTCCCTCTTCTTACTAGAATACACTGCCGTGAGATTTTCACAGCCCATAATTCAGTCTGTGGCTGCAACACCTGTTTAGTGACTCTGTGTCCTCAAGTACCCCACCCCCACCCATAACCCTGGAGGCCACCCCAAAAGGTTCTACCTCTGTTCTTCCTGTTATTATGTCCTCTGACCTGTCTTGTCTGCATAGCTAGGATCCTAACACTTGCTCAGGGGATAGCAAGGGCAGGTGGGTAGGTGAGGGGTGTCTCCGAGTGACCTGAAACAAGAACCCAGCAGCTGGCTTGAGTTGGCAGAAGCACCATGACAGAAACTGCTAGACAGACAGATGCTTGAGAGGCGAGAAGGCTGGCTCTCCTGGTTCTGACTTCCTGATCTACAGTGGTAGGGACTTAGCGGGTCGTTGTACCTAAAGTCCCCAGGTGAGAGCCCCAAGAGACTCAGTCAGTCTGTCTGTGAGCTCACAGTTTTGCCATTCTGCTGGGTGTGGGCATCTAAGATAAAGGTTTCAGCTTACAGATGGTTGCCCCCGGCAGTGAAGATCAAGGCACTGGGACTCCACTCCTGAAATCCTATCTTCTTAATTATCTTTTGAGAGGCTGAGAGCCAAGAAAGCTAGATTTCTTTTCTTTAAGCCTCCTCCTGTTAGAACTGAAGGTTTAACTAATTAGATTGGATGCCTGCTTTGCACCTTTGCAGCTGGCTGGGAGGGAACTGGAGGTGGGGAGGGGAAAGGGAGGAAACACATCCCTGTCTTGACTTCCTGGCCTCAGGCAACCACCTCACACACATTGGCCTTGAAGCTATGCCCCAGGTACTTAGAACAGATGCAGGACCCAGACAGGCTTGAGTTCACCCCTAGCCTGTGTTGCAGCCACCTTATCAGTGTGTAGAGAACATTTGTGCCACAATTAGCCATGCAGCAGTGAGGAGTGGGGCATGGCAGAGAAAGCCCAGCCTGTCTCAGAGAGGGAGAAGAGAGAGGAGAGAAAGGGGGGGGAGGGAGGAGGGAGAGGCAGGGATGGAGACCTAGACTGTGTGGGAGACAAGACATTGTAGTCATCTGCTGTGTAGTTAATTCCTGGGAATTGAAACATCCATCCTGGCCGGAGGAGAGAAGCTCTTGCAACTTATCAGGCTTTGGGAGCCCAGGAAGTTGCAAGATTTACCGGGCTTACATAAGCAGCACCAGTTGCTGTGGAAAGGAACTGCTCCCACCATCAGAGTTGCCTGCGAGCTGTGCAAGGAG